AATTTATACTCGATTTGATACGCATCAAAAATGAAACTGGTTGTCTCATTTCGAGTTCTAAGGTAAAAGTATCAAAATGAAACAGGTAAGTTTCATTTTGAGAAGAAGAAAAATGGAAAAATATTGTGAAATAAAGAATAATTTTGCACAAAAACATGAAATATAATAATTACAAAGAAGTAAATAACACGCTAGACTTAATATATTTGATTAAAAATTGGTTGTAATCGCGTAATAAAATAATAAAGGAAATATGTTTTTAGGTTAGAAAAATGAAAACATGTGTTTTGACAATAGGAACGGTACTACCAACTTAAATAATAGCGGTAAATTTAAAAACTTATGAAATTAATTATTATCTACGTAAATAATAATAAATTATTTTTATTTAAAAACTTCTAAATATTCGTACTGGTCAAAATAATCTTTCTGGTGTTGTTGAAATATTAGAAAAATTAATTGAAATACAAAATTACTCTGCTTTTGATGCCAACTTAGAAATCTGAAATTCCAGCCAGTATCATTTTGAATAACATAAAGTTTGTCCCATACTCATTTCGATACCCAAAAGAAAATGAGTTGCAACAAAAATGAATCCAAGTTTTTTCTGTGTATAAACGATTTTTCATACTACAGAATTTTTACTTAACCGAAAAATTATTTAACAAAATTTCTAATTGATACAATTTTTATTTGTCCGAAATTGCAAATAACACCGAACAAACAATCGACGGAAAGATTTCAGAGCGATTTTTAAAATCAACCAATCACAATTTTATGGCTAATTTTTGAGTGGTTAATTTAAAAATCGACGAAGCTGAAGTACGCAACGTTTATGATAAACGATTTTTAAAGAAATAATTTTTAAAAATGAAAAATTCTATAATTTTTTGCCTAAAAAATATTTTTTTATAATTTGTTGATTAATGAAAACTACAAGAAATATTTTTTAGGCAAAAAATTATAGAATTTTTCATTTTAAAAAATTATTTCTTTAAAAATCGTTTATCATAATCGTTGCGTACTTCAGCTACGTCAAAATCGCGCCAAAATCGATTGTTTGTTCGGTTATTTGCAATTTCGGACAAATGAAAATTCTGTTAAACGATTTTTCGGTTAAGTAACAATTCTGTAGTATGAAATGTCGGTTATATGGAAATTATATGAAATAATAATTCGAACAAATGAAAATTCATCTAAAAGAATAAAATGAAAATTCTTTGCAATGAAATTCTACCCAATAAAAATTCTTTAAAATGCCTATTATGTTAAATAAAAATTTGAGCAAATAGAAATTCTGTGAAGTGAATTTTCGATTATATAAAAACTCTGTAATAAAGAAAATAGCGGTTTGATGAAAATTCTGCAAAATACAAATTCAAACAAATAAAAATTCGGCTCAAAAATAATTGTGAAAAATGAAATTCCAAAAAATGAAAATTCTAACTAATGATTTTTAGAACATAATCATGCATCCCCAATAATTTTAGATTTCAAAAAATACTAGAAAAAAAAATTGACACCCTTTAGCAACATTAATTTCGATGAGTTGAAATTTCACCGATCCCTCCTCTTAATTGGTAAAATTTAATAAACTTTTTTTGGAAGTCGAAAATTTTTATAAAATCGAAAATTAATTATAATTTTACAAAAAATAAAACAAATTTAACTTTTTAAGTTACAATTTAAATCAATCGATCGCTTACAATTTAAATATATATAATATTAGGATTATTCTATAGCAAAATTAAATATAAAATACTGGTTGAGGACACTTAGAAATATATAACCTATATATATAAGAGTAAACAATAGATATTTTTTAAAAAAAGGAGAAAAAAATGAAATTGGAAAAATGATGAATAGCCCAGAGGAAATCGAACGAGAAAAATTTATCATTTTCTCATTTATCACAATCATATTTTATCAAATATGTTATTAGAGAAAACTATCAAACGATGAAATGATGATTGATGAATTAAATGACTGGGTACTTCGAAATATCCGACAACAAAACGACTAATTTTTTTTTTAAAAAATTATTATACTATTTAGGATAAATTGTCAAATCTTCAATTTTTTCCCTCAATTAAAAAAAAAATTGTTCTCAAAGTTGTTTAATATATTAATATTGAACCAATGAAATATTTTGACATTTCTAAACAAAAAAAAACTTAAATGATAACGATAAAAATATAGCAATCATTTTTTTTTTCTTAAATGATGGAATAAAATGTTCTTCAATATCAGTTACGATGGCTTATTAACGCTCTTTCAATATATTGATAAAATAAATTTTTGCAAATAAAAAAAATTTTTTTGGCCCAAAAAAATGAAAAATAAATTTTTCTTTTTGAAAGGCATAATTATTTTTTTAAAAAAAGAGATGAGAGGTTTTTTTCCTATAGAGACGTGTAAATAAAAAAAAAATTTGCCCACAATATTTTAATCCTTGAAATTTAACATTTTCTTTTTACTCACTAGTGCAATTTTTTTGTGGTACTTGTTAATTCGCAGCGCTCTTGTGAGTCGATTTTTCATTGAATAACAAAATTTTTTTTTTTTTAAATTACAATCTCGCAATAAAATAACAGACTATATGCGCATAAAAGAAATGAAAGGATTTCATTTGAAGAATATATACATATATATATACATATATGTAACATTTATCCTTTCGGGCGATTTGAATGTGATCGGTTATGAATATTTTTTTTTCTCGAAGTATAGTAAAATAAATAGAGATAGGGCAATTATTTTTTAATCCCTTTACACCGCAGGGAAACGATCTGGCGAGCGCCAAACCAAAACCACAAATCGTTGTCCCAATGGTAATCGGTGTGAGCGCGCGCAAAAGCGCCAAACGAACCGAAAAGAAGAGAGAGAGAAAGATAGAGAATTGTGAGAGAAAAGGATCAACATGACAATGAAAAGAGAAATGGGAGAAAAAATAAGAGAGAGAAAAAAAAATTTGACATAAAAATACAAAATGTACCTATTTCATTTTTTAAAAAAATATATACAGTATAGGAACAATGAAATAAACTACTTTTCCTTTCATTATATATATAAAACAAGTATAAAAATTATCTTCAACTGCAAATGAAATTTAATTAAAAAATACGAGTTTTGAGGGAAAATTTTTGTAAATATTGAAAAAAATTTCCAATTCTCAAAGGCCTATATCAATGTTCATTAAAATCAACACACCAATCGACGTATAAATAGTTTCTGCGGTTCGATATATGTATATATATCTATATTATAAAAGATATCGCTGTAGGTGTTTCAACAGAACATAACCTTAAAATTAGGTCAGGGTCATAGATTAAAATGCGAACATAACCTAAAAATTAGGTAAAAGATCATCCGTCAAAATGCGAATATAACCTCAAACTTAGACCAAGCTCATAACATAACTTGATTTAGTTAAATCTTTTGTTATTTTAGTGAAACCTTTCGCTGTTTCAAGTAAATCTTTTTTTTTATGAAGCGTGAATGTAACATAGATAAAAAATGAAGGGGATAATAAAAATTATTAATCAATATTGAAGGCCAAATGTCAAAAACATGGATTAAAACAAACATAACCTCAAAAATTAAGGTCATATGTTAAAAATATATGTTAAAGACGAAAACATAAACTTAAAGTTCAAGGTCATGGGTCGAAAACGTAGATTAAAACAAAACATAACCTCAGAAATCAAAGTCATATGTCAAAAATATAGGTTAAAGACTAACATAACCTTAAATTTTAAAGTCATATATGTTAAAAATGAACATAACATATCCCCCTCTTCTTTATCCTTATCTTACCTAAATGTAGAGGTTATGGTATACTAATAAGAAGGAGAAGGTTATGTATATGATTTTGAGGTTATATCGCCTTTTTATCTAAGACTTTTAATTTAAAACTTTATGGTTATGTTCGCCTTTTGACGTAAATTTTGAGGTTATAGTACAATAATGAAAAAGAAAAAGATTAGATATATTTTTAGAAGTGAATTTAAATTTTATTTAATTCGTTAAATTAATTTCATTTTTAAAAACTAGTTGAATAGAATTTATGGAGTAAACAATATTTCAAAAAAATTTATTTCAGTAAACTAAAAAAAAAAAACAAAACCCAAAAACTGACAAAAATATGACGAAGCTGAAGTACGTAACGTTTATATAAACGATTTTTAAAGAAATAATTTTTTAAAATGAAAAATTCTATAATTTTTTGCCTAAAAAATATTTCTTGTAGTTTTCATTAATCAACAAATTATAAAAAAATAATTTTTAGGCAAAAAATTATAGAATTTTTTATTTTAAAAAATTATTTCTTTAAAAATCGTTTATATAAACGTTGCGTACTTCAGCTTCGTAAAATATGAGGGAATAATTTGAAAATAAAAAGAAAGAAAAACATTTGTGACGTGATCTGAAAAAAGGACTTTAGAAGCGAAAAAAATTATAGGTTACGTTTTGAAATTTTAAAGTGAAAATACACAAAGACGTTCAACTCGTAATGTAAACTAATGACATTTTTTAAGTCTTCATTACATTCAAAAAATTCAGAGCATGAAAGAAAAAATTTCCCTTCTACAATTTTTAACTAATTTACATAAATATAAAAATATAAATTCTCGTCATAAATTTATATTAACAAGTTTCTAACAGACGTTATTTTTAAAAGAGGTTAAAAAGTAAATTAGGTTTGTATATAGACAAAAAGAAGATATGCAACTTTTTTAGGAAAGTAATTTTTTTTTTTTTTTTGGAAAAGCCACGTCAAGAGTTTCATATAACAAGAGGCACAAAAGGAATATGAGGCAAAGATGATGGAAACAGAGGAAGTAGGGAAGAGGACATGCTACAAAAGTGGTGTGAGGTGGAAGTGTGTTGAGATTCAAGCTCACAAAATGAATATATCAATCTACAACCCAATGTATATGTATATTTATGCTTCCATAGAGAAAATGCAATGAAAGTTTGAAATATTTTTGAAATTCCAGAGCTTCCGATTTACATGAACCTTATACGGCAACGACGACGACGACGACATCAACGAATTAAGGCGACGCGACGCCCCAAATTTTGAAACGCTCGTCGTCGACAAGTTGTGAAAATGCGCACGATAGTTAGGAGAACAAGAATATACATATATATATCGAGTAGTTTTTTACGATAACATGGTTAGGTGCGCTCGTTTATGGGCTAAGTAAATCACTTGGCTTAATTATCCATTTGTCGTTTTTTCGCTTCGACCAAAATTCCCAGTGGATATAAAGGCGTTTCTATGTGCATGTGTGTGTGTGTGTGTGTGTGTGTGTGCCTGTATAGTCACGATTCCCGCAACCAGTCCACAAGGAGTACGTTTTAATAGTTTCGGACAAACAAATAACAAAAAATTTTTTTTAATAATTATAATAATAAAATTATAAATATAATATAATATAATTATAATAATAAAATTATAAATATAATATAATTATAATAATAATATATCTCTGTATATTATAAAAAGATTTCGCTGCTGTTTCCAGCGTGGGTCAAGAGTGCCAAAACTATTTTTTTGACAAAATTAGGTTAGGTTACGTTACGTTAGAGAAGGTTAGGTTAGGTTAGGTTAGGTTAGGTTAGGTTAGGTTAGGTTAGGTTAGGTTAGGGAAGGTTTGGTTTGGTTAGGTTAGGTTAGTGAAGGTTTGGTAAGGTTAGATTGGGTTAGGTTAGTGAAGGTTATGTTAGGTTTGGTTAGGGAATGTTAGTGAAGGTTTGGTTAGGTTGGGTTAGGTTAGTGAAGGTTATGTTAGGTTAGGGAATGTTAGTAAAGGTTTGGTTAGGTTAGGTTAGGTTAGGTTAGTGAAGGTTAGGTTAGGGAATGTTAGTGAAGGTTTGGTAAGTTTAGGTTGGGTTAAGTTAGTGAAGGTTAGGTTAGGTTAGGGAATGTTAGTGAAGGTTTGGTTAGGTTGGGTTAGGTTAGGTTAGTGAAGGTTTGGTAAGGTTTGGTTGGGTTAGGTTAATGAAGGTTATGTTAGGTTAGGTTAGGGAATGTTAGTGAAGGTTTGGTTAGGTTGGGTTAGGTTAGTGAAGGTTATGTTAGGTTAGGGAATGTTAGTAAAGGTTTGGTTAGGTTGGGTTAGGTTAGGTTAGTGAAGGTTAGGTTAGGGAATGTTAGTGAAGGTTTGGTAAGTTTAGGTTGGGTTAAGTTAGTGAAGGTTAGATTAGGTTAGGTTAGGTTAGGGAATGTTAGTGAAGGTTTGGTTAGGTTGGGTTAGGTTAGGTTAGTGAAGGTTTGGTAAGGTTTGGTTGGGTTAGGTTAATGAAGGTTATGTTAGGTTAGGTTAGGGAATGTTAGTGAAGGTTTGGTTAGGTTGGGTTAGGTTAGGTTAGTGAAGGTTAGTGAAGGTTTGGTAAGGTTAGATTGGGTTAGGTTAGTGAAGGTTATGTTAGGTTAGGTTAGGGAATGTTAGTGAAGGTTTGGTTAGGTTAGGTTAGGTTCGTGAAGGTTAGGTTAGGGAATGTTAGTGAAGGTTTGGTTAAGTTGGGTTAGGTTAGTGAAGGTTATGTTAGGTTAGGGAATGTTAGTAAAGGTTTGGTTAGGTTGGGTTAGGTTAGGTTAGTGAAGGTTAGGTTAGGGAATGTTAGTGAAGGTTTGGTAAGGTTAGGTTGGGTTAAGTTAGCGAAGGTTAGATTAGGTTAGGTTAGGTTAGGTTAGGTTAGGTTAGGTTAGGTTAGGTTAGGTTAGCTTAGGGAATGTTAGTGAAGGTTTGGTTAGGTTGGGTTAGGTTAGTGAAGGTTTGGTAAGGTTTGGTTGGGTTAGGTTAATGAAGATTATGTTAGGTTAGGTTAGGGAATGTTAGTGAAGGTTTGGTTAGGTTGGGTTAGGTTAGGTTAGTGAAGGTTAGGTCAGGGAATGTTAGTGAAGGTTTGGTAAGGTTAGGTTGGGTTAGGTTAGTGAAGGTTAGGTTAGGTTAGGTTAGGTTAGGTTAGGTTAGGTTAGGGAATGTTAGTGAAGGTTTGGTTAAGTTAGGTTGGGTTAGGTTAGGTTAGTGAAGGTTAGGTTATGTTAGGTTAGGTTAGGGGAATTTGAAGTTGTTTGTCGGGCATAACCTCAAACCCAAACGAATTTTGAGGTTATGTTTGACATATGACCTTGAATTTTGAGGTTATGTTTGAACTAAGACCATGAATTCTGGAAACCTATGCCCTAGAATTTTGAGATTATGTTTGATCTATGACCTTGAATCTTGGAGACCTAGGACCTTGATTTTTGAGGTTATGTCCATTTTAATCTATGTTTTTGTCGTTTGGCCTTAAGTATTGATATTAAATTATATATATTTTTGACATAGTTAGTACAATCCTGCTGACAGCAATGGGTCATTCCACGTCAAGAGGTCGCTGGGTTTGAGGTTAAAATCAAAACTAAAATACTAATATGGGTAAAGTGAGTTCCTGCGTAGCATTCAAATTCTCCTATGGCAATTCATTCTATATATATATATATATATATATATATATAATGATTATAATAATAATAATAGTTTAATAATAAAAAATATATATTATAAATAACAATGATAGGAAAAAAATAATAAAATAAAATATAATTGTCGTGACTTTGTATATGAAATATATTAAATGCTTGACGAAAAATTGTAACTAAAACCAACATGTACAGCGGAACGCGAAACATATATATAAACTATATACACTGGAATTTGTTCGGCGAAATTGTTTTTATTATACCCACGCCACATATCCGTGCAGCTGCTGCTACAAAGCATATGGACTTTCTGCGAAACAACTGATTCGTTGACGAAAAAATAGATTCTAATTTCTACGAGTTATTTTCCAACCCTTTTGTCAGACGTCCCTCTTTTGTCTTTAGTCAATTTCACGTCCATTTATTCTTTACTTTTTTTTATATCGCACTAATTATTATTATTGTCATTGCTATTATTATTATTATTATATTATTATACACTAACCAAAAAAAAATTTAATTTAATTTAAATAATCGAGTATAAAAAATTTACTTTTTTTATAGTTAAAATTTTATATAAATAATTAAATATTACTCTGAACAATTTATAATCAATCCAATTAATTAAAAATGTTAATCAAGGTAAAACTATCATAAACATGACCTAAAATTTGTTTAGAGCAAAGGTCCCTTTAACCATGGAGCTTCAAATATAAATTTTGTATATTTGTTACATCAGTTTTTATTTCTCATGAGATAAAAATTTTAGTAAGCTGTATTCTCAAAATTGAGCGTTAAAATTATATGGTAAGTATTTGTAAGTGATTATTGAATGTCAAAATATTAAAGATTATAAAAATTCAAAACCTAAGTTCCTGTAAAAATAGTAAATCTTAGTTTAGAGTATTTTCGATCTAATGAAAACTTAAACCAGTGCGGTTTATATGTAGTAAGATCTTGTTACACAAAAAAAAAAAACCCTAAACACAAAATAATTTGCATTCAGACTCATTTTAAAGTGCAACAAAAATGAATCAGTAAGATGGTTCTATCTGATTAATTTTTGTTGCACTTCAAATTGAGTCTGATTGAACTCATTTTAAGTTCAGATGTTTTCTGTATACAAACAACTGATTAAGTTTTCATTAGATCGAAAATATTCAAAAGCTGATTTTAATTTAACATAATTAAAAATAATAATGATTATTTTATCACTCGGTTGTATTTAATAATGAAGATGAATATATCGAAACTATCTCTAAACATAAACGAAAATTTGTTTGCAACGCACAGAAAAAACGTTGGATAAATTTTGTTGCGTGTAATTTATTAACCAATGCTAATTCACATAAACGGAATAGCTCCCTCAATTAGGATAAAATTTGTTCCAATTAATTTTTATATCGATTTTGGGGTAAAAATTATACTTTTTTTTAGTGTCAGCATGGTCCCTTTCAACGTTAAGCAAAAAACATGTTCGCAAAAAAAAAGAAGAAATTTCCAGTGACAACTACAAATATTAGACGCAGAAAGTTCTTTTGAGGTAGATATATATATAGTTGAAAAAGAGAGTGTTTTAAAGAAAGTTTAGGGTCTCTGACAATTTTGACGTGAAATGTACACGCGCCAGTGGCATCCTGTTTAGATAAAAGCAAAGGGCTTATTCTCTAGGAAGAGAGTTTTTCGATTCCAGCCTGAGGCCAAAAAGAGGGTAAGAGAGAGAGAGAGAGAGAGAGCGACCTACGGCAGCTCGAGGCGAAAAATGCATCATCTCTTGAACGAGTGCGGGGCGTCGTCGATCGTGGGGTTGTCGCGTAAACGCAGAGAGGGTGGGAAAAAAAAAGAAATCCGTGCAAAGGGTGACTGAAAAATCAATTTGTCCTAACGTGACATTCTTTGAGATCACTTAGAGAAGATTCCGCGAGGCAGAAGAGACACCCCTACCATTTTTTTTCTTCTTTCTTAATGGGCTTTATAAGGGCGAAACTGACTCTTTGCTTGGTTCATATATAGAACATGCAGCATCTAATGTCTTTGTCATGTTGACTGTCGACAAATCGCCCTTTCAAGAGGTCACCAAGATCCACTTCTAAGGGTAAATTTCTCTCTCTCATTCCTTAGCTTTCATCTTCAATCACCATTTTTTTTTTCAAACTGTTAGTTAAACTTTTCGCGTCAATGGTTCTAGAATATATATAGTCTATGATGACGTCACAATAGAGAGACAATAGAGCCATAATGTAACTGTTAGTAACTCGATCCAATAACGAGACACATATACGTGATGCTCTTTTGGTGATCAAGTTTTTCGGCAATAAAGAATAGACAAAAAAAAAAAACAAAAGAATAATCGCCTGCATAGCTAGGCGTTCGCACCCAACCCGAACCGAGAGTCACTTTGGTAAACGAACCAGAAAACAGCACCGAAGAATTATGGGTTTTAGTTTCTGGTATAAAGTAGCGTAATCGTCGAGGGTGCTTGGATAATTGAAGGGTTGGAGGAGACACTGAAGAAATGCCTCGCATTTACTATTCTCCCCACCCCTATATATATATATGTACACGCGGCTCAACAGTTTTTCATTGC